TAGTCTATCTCTATTTTCATTATATTATTCTATATACATTTTAACACTACCTAGCTTCTCTAGATTTATCTATTTTACCTCGCAGGTATAGGCATCGATTCGGGATGAAGTCGGAACCTAGCCTCCGGTTTCAAGATGACAGCTGTACGAGCCAAAAGTAAGTGAATTTTTAACGAATCTTAAACTTTTTTTCGATTTTCTCAGGGAATCCAGTGCAGCTGAGGTCCTGTTTGTGCGTACTTTAATTTAAACAATAATACTTTTGCAATCCGTACATCCAATACAGAGATTTTTCACCGAATGGAAATGTGGTAAAACAGGAGGCTTTAGCATCGCCTTAATAGTTATTTTTAACATTCCTAATAATGAATCTAACAATGAAATGTTTAACATTCCTATTTTTAACATTCCTAACAATACGATACAAAAAAATATTCTCTGAGAATCCTGAGCAAGTTAAAAAACGATTATATAGACCGTTATTACTGTCCAATATTCCTTCTTCATGTGAAATACAATTTACAAATATATTCTTCTTATTTGTCTATTATTTATATCTATTATACATATTTTACAGAAAATTTTTATAAATGATTATGTAGAGGAAAGGCCCCTATTATACCAAATTCATTTTGGATAAATGCTAAAAGTCTATGGGCAGAACTTAAAAAAATAATAGGTCATTTTGAAGGAAATTTAATAAGCTTTAAGATAACGTTATATAAAATTTAATTCAAATTCCATTTTTGTTTAATCAAATGTAAAAAGTAAGCAAATCACAAAGTCAAAGAATTGTATTCCTAATATGAGATGTCCCGAGAAATCGATGGTAAAACGTAAAATATATCAGTATTGCAATTAAAAAATTTTATTTCATGTTTCAAAAATGCAAACAAACACAGCCAGCGTGCATGAAAAATGAACATGCGATAGATTATACCCAGAATTCGTCTTCAGGTAGTTGGAATCAAGCGTCGCGATAGGCACTCGACGTTCATTCTGGTTGTCCTTTTTATTATAATACAATAACATTTACTCCTTAGCAACGATTTTCATATAATATAGAAGCATGGGTTATTTCATATTAGAAATACCCTGGGTATCTCATATTACGATTTCCACGCCTTATAGTTTTATGATCATCAAATCTAACTTCTGTAATTAAACAATTCAACATATCCCGTATTTTTCTATTAGTACGACCTTACTCTATCACTACATGAAGAATTTATTTTTTGCCAAATATTTATTTATTAAATAATAAACAAGATTTAAAGGCTCATCCCTTACGGAAAAAACTAGTGTCACTACTAGTGTCACTACTAGTGCAATAGTAAATTCGCTAATAGTGTAATAGTGCTGGAAAAAATTTCGTTAAATTTCACTGAAATTACAATAAAGTTTCATTGCAAAAATAAGTATTATTAGCATCATATTTTAGAGGATACACGATAAAATTATATAAAAAAAAACAAAAAAAAATTTCCTTTATAAATTCGGGAACTAATTTTTATGATGCTCCTATACGATCACCCATCCGAATACGAACCTCCACTTAGTATTCTTGACTTCTGCAATCGTACGGGAACTGCTTCTTCAAAGAACTTCGAGGAACTGATCCACGAACACCTATAATACTAATGGACGTATAATTGTAACATATCTGGTCGAAGATGTGAAAGAGACGGAAAACATATAGAAAAAAATAATTAATGTTAAATATAATTGTAATGTACAAATCTAAGCTATACGCGTGGCATATAACAAAAATAATTTTCAGAAAGTCAGTCAATTTTGAAAAAAAAATTACAAAAATTTCTCAGTTATTATCAGAAATAATTGGATGAGGGTTCTGTAAATAATTCAGTATTTGTAGACATGAAAATTTCTGGAAATTTCAATTTTGATCTGACTTTTTCTAAAAAATGTTTCAATTTGTACAAACTTAAAAAATTTAAGAAAATCTTAAACTTTTTATAAAAATTGTGAGAAATAATAAAAAAAATTCTAAAAAATATCGCCATGGCTTAACAATACTATTCAGCGGTAATGAACAACACATACCGAGGAGTATACATTATTGAATGCTGCAAGAAATATTCAATTGTATATACTGTACAGAATGTGTACTATTAGTTTAATTTCTCACATTTTGGCACACTATTGGGTTGAACTATTCAATGATTAGTATGAGAGTAGTGTAAACTATTAAATGTCTAGTGGTTATTTCAGTAGTTCTTACTATTGCATCCTAAAAGTTTATACTGGTCAATAGTTTATAATTGTGTAGTGGAAACTGTTTATTATTAGTGTTACAGTACTCAATGTAATAGTGTCGAATGCTTGTAACTATCGCCGTTCAAAAGTTACTATTGGCATTCTAATAGTTTTTTTCCGTACGGGATCTCAATGAAACTTGAAGATATCCAAATTCTAAAATCTTTTTTTACAATGACTACAGGCATGATCTAATAATGAATCTTCTACTAAATAGTTTTTAATCCAAGAGCAATAAAATTCATGGTAGAACCAATAGATAGCGTTTATTAGTTTAGCAGAAACGCTGCTATCACATATTACTCGCGTATCTCATAATAGGGGGCTTTCCTTTATCTATAAAAATGTACTTTTTCTTACGAAACTTATTTTTTCCCTAATTTATTATACTTTTGGATTCTCAATCCACGGATTACATAGTCAAAACTGTGTTAGCTAAACCGTTTCTTGTTAATAAGGATGGGTTTCGAATTACGTATAAAGCGCATGAGGTACCATTTTATTCGTTCTTATTCTTCGGTGAATAACAAGGACAAATGATGCATCATGCACTTTGTGCATATTTCGGAACAAACCCCAAATAAAGTTGAAATTAGGTTAATACAACTCCAGAAAGCAGTATATGTGGCCAATCGTGCTCTGCATCACTTTGGGTTCCATGAATGGAAATACAACTATGCCAATAGGTTGACTCTGATGTCTTTAGTACCACATGACAATATTGATTCGTTTTCTTTGGACGACTCCAATAGTGATTTTAGAACGTATTTAAAGTAAGTGTATTATATTTTTAATTTCAAATAGATAATATTTACAATAAAGGGAATTTAAAGTCAATAAACGTTTATTTTACGATATGAAGAAATAGTGCCATTGGCTTCAAAAAGTTTCTTCTTCACGAAGACATGAATCGATTAGATGCAGTCAAAGCACATAATAAAAGGTAAAAATGGTTCATAATTATTCTTAATTGTTTGTGACATTTAATTAAAAAATTGGCCTATTAAATAACATATAGTGACAGTAAGAATTAAACTAATTACTTCGGAAAGTAACGATTAAAACGAATATAATTATGTATAAAAAATAGGTATATGATTAACATTTACATTCTCAGTAATTATACCTCAGATAAATATGTCAAAAAATTTTTTTAATTTTAATTACAAAATTAATATTATATTAAATTGTTATCTGAATGATAGAGTAAGGCATTTCTAATAATTATTTATAGAAATATTGAACATAAATTATACTTACTGTTGTCAATATATCCTGTATAACACAAAATAATTTCGAATTAAATATTAAAAAAGAAAGAAAAGTCGTTAATATAAAAGCTTTAGGGTATATAAAATAATAAGATGGAATTTATATAACATACGTTCAAGAGACAATACACTATTCAATAAAAAATAAGGAACTCTTTAGAACACACTCAAAATATTCAGAACACCATAACTCGGTGAAAAATTATCTCAGACAAAAAAATCGAAAAAGCATTTGAAAGCTTGAAATCTCTACTTCCGAAATCAGAAATTGATATTTCAATCTGACTGATTTTTTATGGAGATATACGGATATAAATGAATATCCGTCAAATCTGAAATTTTTTTACAAACTTTACGAAGATTTATGGCGTGAAGTGTGTAGACACTAATAGTGTCCCAACGCTAAGCTAAAGCGCAGCGACACTGCCATGCCTCCTTTACGCGAGTCGCAGAGATACGTCGGATCGAGATTATCGGATCTCAATAACGGCTGTCTCGATTGAATTAAAGTATATCTTAATCGATAGCTTACACTCCGATTGTATTATACGTGTTTTTATTTTTTATCTACATATCCTACAAGCGGAGATATTGCGACGCAAATTTTCGAACTGTCACTTTTCATTCAGATTCAGATTAGATACGTCGTCATTAACCACTCAAAATATACGGCTGCACCGTCTGGCACTAGAGGCGTTCAGATGCCTGCACATTCCAGTTGACGTTTGGTTTGGTGGTTCGCAGCGATGTGCGGGGCGCGGGGCGCTTGCCAGGCAGTCCCCATTCCCCGCGCACCATCGAAGGCGGATATTTGATGCTTTAGAAATTAATGTTTCGATTTATATAGTACTAGCACACTTATTCGGTCAAAAGTATATTTCTCGCATACTCGTTCGATCGAAAATCAAGACGCGCGACGTCACGTCTCGCATCGCTTTTTATGCGAGAAGTAGACCGCACACGGAAAACGTGCCGCTTCCCCATTTCGCATTCACATTTCATTCGCGAAATGCGGCGGATAGAGGATGACACAGCGGAACGGACTAGCTCTTAGACGAGTAGAAACGCGCGATCAAATATGATAATTAAAACCTATATAATACTTGAATGTATAACTTGAACAGTGAGGTTAAAAGTAGGGATTTCTCCTTAACGCGTAGGAAATTTTTACCTCAAAAAGGCGTAGAAAATTTTAAGTTAAAAAGGACCAAAATGTAAAGATTTTTAATCCTTACATTTTGGTCTTTTTTAACTTAAAATTTCCTACGCTTTTTGAGGTAAAAATTCCCTATGTTAAGGAGAAATCCCTACGTTTAACTACACTGAACTTGAATGTATATTTTTATACGCGATATTTAACTACCGACTATAGATTCAATAATCGCATATAAATAATCTGTTCGACCGCGTATTTCATAAAACTTGTTCGTCGAAAGTATATCGCTTGAATAATTGACAATGAGATTTTCGAATATCAATCTGTAATACGGAAATAATAATCATAAAAGACGAGCGTAAATTATAATTTAATTTTTCTTGAAGGATATTCTTATTTATAAAAGATTTGATATCAACAATTGGCGCCGAATTAAATCCCACTAACTATTCAAATTAAATTCTACCAAGTAATGGCAACATTAATTTTCTGCCAAAAATTATTACTCTTCGAAAAAAATTAATGTATCAAATGAAAAATTAAAACTCAAATGCTACAATCTTAAATAATCAAGTTACATTCTATCAAATTAAAAAGTAAAATACAAATGATACTGTCTCTTGTTAATTATACAAACTTACCTTTTTAAACAAAAATAAAAAAGCGCTAAGCGTGCGTGCTTTTCGTAAAAATTATTTGGGTCGGTTTCACTAACGCGAATTACTTCATTCGCCGTGGAACTGACTAATAGCGTTTGCTGTTTAGTGGAATTGACCACTTATGGTTGACACTTATGGTTAATCACGGATTCGGCTTAATCGAGTTGGTAAAACCGATCATTTGTATATAATATTACTTAACTCTAATGATATTTATCATTCATATAAACGATTTGATATCAACGAAATTAGCGCCAAGTTAAATTTCTCAAAATTTTATGTATCGATCGTAAAAAAGATTTAATATCAATAATTGGGGCTAAGTTAAATTCCATGCAATTCGGATACCGAATTAAATAAATAATATTAACTTTAATGATATGTATCATTCCTATAAAGGATTTGATATATCAAGAACTGGCGCCAAGTTAAATCCCATTTCTTTATTTACTTAATCCAAATAATACTATCTTTAATTTTTATACAATAAAACCTAAGTATACGTATATCCCCGTGGGTTGAGCTACCTATCGGGCGCGTCTCTAGGTGGCGAATTGGAGGATGTCCGAAGGGGTGCCCGGTCTCCCGGGTGTGAAACCCCGCGTGTGACTGGAGGTCCCTCCGGATAGTGACGGTTATAAACGGACTTCCAAGTGTAAAACCCTGCATGGGTCCGGGAAGACCGTTGCCGTGGACCACCCCCCTCTCCCTAAGCCAAGCTGGAAGCCATCGAGGTGAAGGCTGCATGGCACTGAGGGAGCAGTGTCGTGATCGATGCCTCTGGGACACCGGGCAAAACCCCAGAGTATCTAGCCTTACCCACACATGTGGGGCTCTGCGTGGGCGGACCTTGTTCCCTAACTGCTCGTGGGATGTGCATGGATAGATTCAATGCATTACAAATCAATGAAGACACGATAACCGAGGGTTCGAAAGGGCACTCGGCGGAGGTGGCGGCGACCGTGCTGCTAGTACGGCCCTGCGAGGGCTCGGAAAGTGAGGTGGACGCTGCAGCGGAGGTGGAGCTCCTGTTTTGGAACGGACCCCTTCGGGCTCGGAAAGAAACGGGAGCAATGCGGGCGATGCGGGGGCGCCTCGTAAGAGGAACCGCAGCGAAGCCCAGAAGAGAAGGGCGAAGAGGGACAAGGAGAAGGCTCTTGAAGAGCAGGCTCCGGATCCATCGACAACTCTTAACACGCCAGAAGGGATAACAGGGCTCATCAGTAAAAAGCGCCGCGCGGGCTCTGACCAAACCCCCCCCCCCCCTCGGTTAAAAGAACGATTAAGAAACCTAGAGCTCAGGCAACTGGAACCTTTGCAACGATGGTTAACCCATTAGCAAGGGCGGTTGTTCTGGAGAGGTATCCTGAGAAGGGGATCACTCAGGAGCAGCTGACCTTGTTTAGAAGGGCGGTGATGGAGAGGATCCAGGAGGGTTCCCTACCCAGATTCGTGGGACCGGCTACCCTCAAGAACGGGGCTGTCATCATTAGAAGAGAGCACGCGGCGTCTCTTAACTGGCTGGAAGACCAGGTGGGGAGCATCGTGCCGTGGGAGGGCGCCAAGCTCAGAGTGGTGAGCTTGGATGAGCTCCAAAGGTGGCACAGGGCGGTGGTCTGGGTTCCGGGTCCTCCGAAGCACGCGGCTGCTGTCCTGGCGCTGCTGGAGAGGCAAAATCCGGGCATCGGCGCTTTGACTGGACGCGTCTTCGTCGAAAACGTAGGCGCTTCCCCTGAAGAGAGGAACTACGTTTTCGGCATCTTGGAGTCCAGCGTTCTCAAGTTGAGGGTGTGGGACTCTAAGCTATGCTATAGGATCGAGTAGATCACCGTTAAGGTGACTCGATCTCATGGCGAGGAGGCGGGCAGGGAGGAGCCTCGATCCAAAGATTAGCTCGTATAATGGGCTGGTCAGTGATAGAGGTTACCCAGATTAACCTACATCACAGTAAAGGGACCTCGGTGGTTTTAGCCAGGCGCCAGTCTGTGATGCACACAGCCATTTCCTTGATACAAGAACCATGAATTGTCCGTGGATGTGTCAGGGGGGTGGCAGCATGTGCTAACAGAAACCTAGGACGTGCATAACGGCCAAGGGACTGGATGCACGGCTTCTGCCTGAGGTGTGTTCCAGGGATCTGACGGCGGTGGAGGTGACGGCGGCTGGTAGTGTTGGAGACACCAGGAGGCTCGTCACCTGCTCGGCCTACTTCCCGCACGGAGAAGGGGTGCCACCACCGGAGCTAATCAGTTTGGTGGACCTCCGTCAGAGGGAAGGACTGCCATTGCTGATGGGATGTGATGCCAATGCGCACAACACTATATGGGGAAGCACCGACAAGAATGAAAGGGGAAGGAAGTTGCTGGAGTACTTGGTAACTACTGACCTGGAAGTTCTGAACAGAGGTAATAAACCCACCTTTTGCGCGGCAGGGAGAAGTAAGGTGTTAGACCTCACTCTCTGCTCACGTGGATCCGTTACCAACAATAGGGGAACTCCCTGGTGGAATCCACGACTGCAGAATCTCAGGGTCAAGGCTCGAACAAAGCGAGGAACACGGGTCGGCCCTCCGACTGGGATCTGTACAGGAAAACCCAGAAGGAATACAGAGATTCTGTAGTGGAGGCGAAGAAGAAGAGCTGGTGGGATTTCTGCGAGTCGGTGGAGGAGATGCTGGCTACCGCCAGGCTTGGCAGATTCCTATCTAGGAACCCGGAGGCAGCGTTGGAAGCAGTCCGAGTTTCGGACGGCACCATGGCATCCGGGGAGAGATGCCTGGTGCACTTTCTGGACACTAACTTTCCTGGTTTCCAGAGGGGTGTGGACAGGTGCTGGAAATTTGACACGGACCCCTTTAGGGC